GGAGCAGAGATTATGGGAAATGAGATCAAGAATCACATTGGTTTGGACGGCGCAGACGTTTCCGTCGGGCCTAAGGGCTCACCATTTAATGCCCACATCGGACTCGACGGTATGTCCATTGGCAAAGGCGATGCCAAACTGTCCCTGTCCAATCCATTCAAATTGTTTGGCTAGATGTTATTAAAACCGTAGTAATTATTATTGAATTGAGTAACTCAAAATTGTTTAAATATTGTTTAAGTATTAAAATTAATGAATTAGTTATTAAAATGTTGTTTCACTTATTCTAATTATAAAAATACAATTTGATTAAACAATTTACTTTATATTTTAATTTAATATTTTTAGACTGAATTGTTTAAAATTATAAAAGGGTAAGATGTGCATGATTAGTTCTTAACCTTTTGACAAATATTCTAAAGTAATTTAAATCAATTAATTAATTAATTCTTACATTAATCAAGACTAATTAATTTAAAATAAATTTTTCTGTTATATAAATTTTTTAAAAATATTTAAATTTATTGATGAATAAAATAAAGTTTAATCTAAAATCAAAAATACTTTTTGTTAAATATTAAAAATATAATATGCCTAATCAAAATCATTGACAGAAAACCGTAATACTGTTAAACATATGGCTATAACTTAATTAAATAGAAAATTCTGGAATTTAATTAAAAAGTAAAATAATTACAGCGCTTATGGTTTGGGTTAACATTACAAGCAGTAGGCAATTAAATGACATTAAATAGGATTAAGATTATTGTTATATTTTAATAATTACAAAATACTGTTCTATAAATATTGATATATAACTATAATATTAAGTGAAAACAATGGCCAAACAATTAACTGTATTATTTATACCAATCAATGCCGTCGGACACTTGAACGCCTGTATAGGTATAGCCGAGCCGTTGATAGAGAAGGGACACCGGGTTGTGTTCGCAGTGGAGAACAGGTTTCAAACACTACTCGAGCCCTTTGGGATTGAAGTGATTAGTTTCACTAATAATCTCACTGCCGCTGACAATAATCCGGCCAAACATGAGGCCAAACATGAGGCAAAACATGAGGCAAAACATGAGGCCAAACAGGAGGCCAACCAAGTGATGGCCAGCGGAATGTTAAGCGATTTGCCGCCCATTGAAAGGTTGCAACAATTGTTCAAATATATGAGTTTAAGGATTGCCGGACACATAGCGTTGGACCGGGAGGTGGAGACAATTGTAAAGCAAATTAGTGTCAATCTTATTGTTTTGGACCAACATTTTCCCCTACCATATGTCGAGGTTTCAAATATATGAGTTTAAGGATTGCCGGACACATAGCGTTGGACCGGGAGGTGGAGACAATTGTAAAGCAAATTAGTGTCAATCTTATTGTTTTGGACCAACATTTTCCCCTACCATATGTCGAGGCCTGTGGTATACCAATTGTGTGGGTCCGCAGCGGTAACCCATTGATGCTGTTGGACGACGAGCGCACACCACCAGCTTTTTCGGGTAATCAATATGCAGCTAATTTTTATTATTAATTCAATTTTTATAATAAGTTTGTAATCATTGTTTATTTTATTAGTAATGTTATATTTAGTAATTAATAAAATAATATATTTATATCAATAGGTTTACCGATTACTAGCGATAAGAGTGAATGGAAACGCTTTCGCGAACTACGGGTCAACGCCGAGGACAGGGAGGCCTGGAGTCGACTAAATGATTACATTATTAGCCGCGGCTGTGCGCCAATAAACCGGGACATTCTGTTTAATCCTAATATATCCCAATGTTTGTCCATTTATGGCTATCCCCTAGAGTTGGATTACCTCGATGTCAGACCTCTGCCCCCGAATTGCATACGTTTTGATAATTTAATGCGAAATGAAAAGCACTCGACGTTTGTATTGCCGGATGTTTTAACCCAAAAATCGGACGAAAAATTAATCTATTTTTCATTGGGATCTATGGGTGCGGCAAATGTAGACAATATGAAGAGATTGGTCTCAATTTTGGGCAAATCCCGGCACCGGTTCATTGTGTCCAAAGGGCCCCTTCACGAGGCCTATACTCTGGCCGACAATATGTGGGGCGCCGGGACTGTACCGCAGTTACAAGTGTTACCATTAGTTGATTTGGTGATAACACACGGCGGCACTAATACAGTGTCAGAGAGTGTGTATTTTGGGAAACCAGTGATTGTATTGCCGTTTTTTGGTGATCAACACGACAACGGCCAGCAGATCCAACACAAGGGTTTTGGTCTCACTTTAAACGCCTTTCGTTGCACTGAAGAGGAGTTGTTGGGAGCCGTCGACCGACTACTGACTGATGAGGCTTTGAACCAAAAGTTGGCACAAATTGGCGAAAGAATACGAACTGAAAATAGTTTATCAAAAATTCCTGAAATATTTGAAGACTTTATCGCTAATCGACATAAATATATCAAATGATAAAAATATAATATCGATACTTGTTTTATTAACCCTTAACGTATAATGTGGCAGGATTTATATGAATGTTGTGTTCAACATTTATTTAAAAATCAACAACAAGCACCAGCTAAAAAAAATTTCAGGAATGCCTCAAAATCAAAAAGTTTTAAATATATAGAATTTTTCGATGATATAAGTTAATTGTAAGTATGATTAATACTTGATTTTATATAAAATCCTGCCACTCAACGCGATACGTGAGTTTTTGTTCATAGGCTAAACAGTACTAATCGTTTTGTATACGTTGTATGTAGAGTGGCAGGATTTTTTGTAATTGTTTTCACATTCAGAGTCAAACGTTAGCCACCGAGATAACCAATGTAGATGTATCACGCGCAGGCCTAATTGAGTATTTATTTTATTGTGTACTTTGTATGCATTGGGACAACATTT